TGAGAGATTTCAGAAGCTTCTTAATAGCTGAAGCTTCTTCATAGTTCATTAACACTATTAAACAGGAGCTTTCTTGTCTCATGCCTGAATGTAGGTAGGGATTTAAACCTCGCCCGTATTGGCGTTTTGTCAGCCGCGAACGTATAGGGGGGGGGGGGGGGCGTTGCCCCTATTGCCGTTTGGCCGCTGATCGAGCTAGAGCTTCGCGAAAGAAAAACGAGCGTGCTGCCCGTGACGAGAGGAAGACGATGATACCCAATTTAAGGTCCTAGGTCATTGGTTCATGGTTGACCTTCCAGGTCAGGTCAATGACCCAAAAGTCGGGAAAATTGGGACCTGTTAGAGCGTCGTAAGTGTGGCTGAGCTTTTCCGGGGTGCTGATTAGAGGTGGCAAAATGTGGACCCGAGGACCCGGTCCAAAGAACCAGTCTGGACCCGTATGGGTCCAGACCGGTTCCTGGGTATTTTCTGACGGGTCCAATCGGGTCCTACCATAAACTATACATCTTGCACACCAGTGGCGGATCCAGGATTTTCACTGGGGAGGGGCTGCAGGTCATAATTGGGCGCCACGCCCCGGATGGGCGCCATAGTCGCATCGTATTGGCGCTGAAATATTGGCGCCCAGTGGCCCTGACAAGAGGCGCCCAGGATCAGTATGTACAGTGACACCACACGATTGGAAATATCGGTGCGGAGCGTACTGAAACGACGTTATTCGACTGATTTTTGCATCCTAGTCCTAGTATGCGGCACTCCGATGAGTTGCGAATTGAAAATTGGCGCCACTGCGCCTTCGGCGCAGTGGCGCCAGTTTTCCTTGGGTGGGGGCTGCCAGCCCCCGCAGCCCCCCCCCCTGGATCCGCCACTGTTGCACACTACACATTATTGCAAAATATGAAGTGAATGAAGTGAATGTTTCTTTGCACACAGTAGCTCATGAGTATTCCCAGTGGGAAATAGGCTGTTTTACATGATGCAACTAATGATTCCTTAAGTAGTTTGTATTAATTGACTTTTGGGGAACGGTTCCAACTGGTTCCGGTTCCAACTAAGACCGGGTCCGACTGGTTCCAGAAATGTCCAGCCGGGTCTGGTTCGAGTCTGGTTCCCAAAATTTTCATCTTTTGCCACCTCTAGTGCTGATCACGAATATCGTGTTAGTGTTGCTCCCAGAAGATGTCGTCATGCATTTAGGCCAGGTCGGGTCAGGTCAACCAGTAGTGGTCCTGCCGGGTATTCGTAGTACGTGTCAACCGCCTCTGACAACTTCGTAACATGTTACGAAGGCACCAAAAGTACTTCGTAAATGTTCAAATGGTTGCTGAATTCGAATTCAGCTCCAAAAACTAGCCTAGAAACATGTAAAACTCGAAAAAGTGAACCGAGGTCAACCGAGGTCAACAAAGGTCAATGACCTGACCTGACCTTCAGGTGACCTTGACACCCACCCTAATGTATGGGAGCAACATCAAATCACATGTTTGAACGTTTGAAACCACGAAAAGCTTGCAAACGCGCGGCTAATGCGAGCCGACATACGCCGAATCGCGATTTCGGCCAAACATGATCACGGAAAAGAGGTCACAGGTCAAAGGTCATTGGGGTCAGGGTCATGAAATTTTTAGGGAACGTGTAAAATTGATCAATGCGAGGGTACTGAAAGTTACGTCGTGATCGGCCGCTTTATACGCGAGTTATTCGCGAAAAACCTTAGGGGAGGGGAGTTGCATCAACCCCCCCCCCTCCTGTGCCGGCGAGGGTTAAGACGTGTTGAAGCCCCGGTAATAAGGGAGCGAAGAGAGGAAGGAGCATGCGACCACGCCCCTGCGCGTAAATCTCTGCCGGTAAGGACGCATCATTGGGGAAAAGGGGCCTGAAAAACATCCAAGCCTAGTTACATGGGAGTAGACGGAAACGGGACACTAAGACATCTAAGAGCACGCATTAAAGCGCGAACATACGCTTGTGACCGGAGGGTGGCACTGTAAGACGCGATATACGCTGGCGATCGGGGAGACGCCGTAAGACGCGATACGCTGGTGGTCGGGGAGACGCCGTAAGACGCGATACGCTGGTAGTCGGGGAGACACCGTAAGACGCGATATACGCTGGCGATCGGGGAGACGCCGTAAGACGCGATACGCTGGTGGTCGGGGAGACACCGTAAGACGCGATATACGCTGGCGATCGGGGAGAGGCCGTAAGACGCGAACATAGGTCCCTCACTGGTACTTACACCTCGATAGGTTCGGGAATAACTCCAGTAGAGTTCGGGTAAAATTTAATTATACATAGGAAGGGCCTGCGTCAAGCTCGGACGTATCCATCACTGGCAGGGTGGATGCCATCGGCAGGGCGGCAGAGAATGTTATATGCGATACAATGGTAACCCAGCGACCGCAGTTAGTCGATGAACGGATCCACATCGCGGTGAGTCGGGTAATTTGGGGGACGTTGTGCATTTGTTTATTTAGGTAGGCTGCGACGGCAGTTTAATACGAGGTGCCTCGGAAAGTTACGCCGTAAGACGCTAGTCCCGGTTCCAGGACGGTACGCGCCGTAAGTCACGAATACGCAATAAAGCGGTGCCAGCCGTAATAAGGCGCGAAATATACGCTGTAAGTCGTCACGTCGTCATCATAGGACAAGGACGCGGTAAGGCGCGAATTATACGCCGGTGATCGGATAGAGACACCGTAAGTCGCGATAATACGCCGGTTATCGGGGGACGATACCGTAAGACGCGAATTATACGCTGTAAGTCGTCACTTAGTCGTTATAGGGCAAGGACGCTGTAAGGCGCGAGTTATACGCCGTAAGTCGTCGGGAGATGCAGTAAGACGCGAGATAATACGTAGTACGTCGTCCACTCCAGAAGTTTTGAGACTGGCCTCATAAAATCCATATGAACAGTGCTAGATACTTGTTGTTCTCACAAGTCCTTACCACAGTTGTTATAAGGGTACTTGCGTAATTTTGTTTTTCTACGTTGCAAAAGACGGCAACGGTGTCACCCTGAACATGACAAGTCGCACGCGGCTTGTCACAGTGACCAAAGTAGAGCACAGTCAGGTCGTTCATGTGAAGACAACTTGGAGGGTCGTTGTGCAATAAAATTTTGGGATTAGCTTGGCAAAAATGCCCGAGAAACATAGCAAATTGACTCTCAAAAGACTTGAGACGAAAGCTGGATGCATTTTTACCATCATGAGACCAAGAGACAGAAGGTCCAATGAAAACACACTGACTCCTTTAGACCCAATAAAGACAGACAGCACAGGTCCACTGGGAAGCTCAAATTAATCCCTTACTTAGAACAAAAAGGCAAAAACTTCATAACCTGGGTCACCTACACGGCCAGATGGACGATGGTCAACAAGGAATGATACGTGAAGGTTCTGAGGGAGTTAAAAAAGAGATTTTGCCGCAAGAGGTCGGAAATCTTCAACTGTGGCCAGGGGCTCCTGCACCAGGACAGCGCACACACCCACAAGTCCAGCATGGAGACGAACTATCTGACACAGATGTGCGTCAAAACCTTCCGTAACCCTTCCCACAGTCCTGATCTGGCCCCCTGGCTTCTGGATGTTCCCCAGACTGACAGGGAAGCTCAGGGGCCGTCTTTCGGAGGATGTGGAGGAGATGAGTGAGGCTGTGACAGAGGCCCTGGGCACCTTCACGTTGAAGGCCTATCAGCAGGCCTTCAGGAAGTGACAGGAGCGCTAAAGCAGGTACATTGGACTCGGGAGGTTCCATTTCGAGAGTCACAGAAGTTTCATGCTTCTCTGAAACAGACAACTGTCTCTACTGGAAAAGTCCAAAACTTCTGGAGTGCACCACGTAAGACGTGCTTTGTAATCCAAGTGTAGACCATCGATGAGTAGAAAGGGCCCATTAGGTGGAACGGGTAGAATTAATTGATGTGTTTCGATTAACTCCGATAGGCAGAGTGGAAGTTCAAGGGTTCCAAGGGTACTCCAGAGCCGAGGTAATTTAGGACGTGGGATCGACTGCAGGGATAGGAAAAGGGGGAGGGAAGCGGGACGTCGCAGTTTGGTAATACGGACATGGACAAGTTTGAGTCAGATGAGTGAAAGTGTGTGACTGGATGAGTGTCTGCGGGAGCAGTTGCGCTTAGGTTAATCAGTTCGACCACCTAGCACCCTTCTATTATCCTCAGGGATGGACCATACCCGAGGGACCCAGAACAAACGCTTAACTGCCCCCTGTTTTTTTTTTTTTGTGGCGGTGAAACCCAATGATGCAGTGCCTGTGTGTTCGCCAAAGACTGACTTGCCTCTAAATGGCCTCGCTAAATGCACTCCTCGCCGAGGGCGACTGACCGAGATCGGAGTTCGCTCAGAGCCGACCCGCTCCAGGGCACACCACCCGACCCAGGGAGACTGAGGAGAGAGGCCCCCCTACAACTGCCGTTGAATGTTTGACGGGCCAGCTCAAAATACATCTCATTGGAGGTCAATCAGTGTAACAATTGTTTGAAGAGTCAAATCGCGTCATTACTGCCGCGTCTCGTAAGGGGGGCCGAAACCGCCCCGCTATCTCCCTATATGCAATGCAGATATCTTCACCAAACTTCAAGGACCCCTTTGTGAATCGGAAATCATTTTCACAGATTGTGGCCAATCTGTTCATGCATATTTCCAAAATGTTTACCGCAGTAGGTATACTGTAAGGTCTAAATGCATCCCAAAATCAATTTTGAAGTCCAGGCTCCGGTTGAAAATTGCTCGAATTCCTATAAATGTATCGTTATTAAATCCTGATTCAGTCGAACTTCTCAGTGCATGGTCAACACAACGGCATGCTAATTTATATCGAACTACATATATCTACCATAGTGCTAGGTACTCCTGATTTCGCTGCCCTGCAGCGCGCCAGTCGCTGCCACTGGACGACCACGGCCACAGAGCGTTCCGTCTTATCTGTGTTCCTGTCAGGGTCGGTATATATCTACAGCGGCGTCGGCCGACCTCAGTCAGTCCGGGAGAGCCGGAGCAGCCGGCAGCCATGTCACGACCACAGACATATTGTGTGCGAAGAGCCGAGCGGATTAAGAATTTGTACAGAGGCATAAACTGGCGAGTGAGAACGCTAGTGAGGAAGTACGAATCGTGCGCACATTTGATCCCCGACACTCTGCTGTTCACAGACGACATTTGCAACAGCAACTGTGCGTGGCATCAGGCCCACTGTGCCAAGTTTGAGGTAAGTCACTCTGTCGACAGACTGATAGGAGAACCGCTCATGGCAGCCCTGTTGGATGTCAATGACGCCGCCGCCGCCCGGTGTCGACACTGCCAGCCCGACCAGCCCCTCAGGTTAACCTCCATCAATGGATCGGGCAGCAATGTCGAGGGTCTGTCGGACGGGGTAGTCGGCCAAGGGGGGACGTCAGACTTCGATCTGATGTTCGAGTTCGACGGTCCCTTCCGCTGGGCGGCGCTCGGAAAGAGAGAGGAGCCGGGTGTTATTAGTCGACAGTCTGCACCACAGCTGTGGGCCCGACCGACCAAAAACCCAGGCTTTGTGACGCTGCACTGGGCCAAGACGACAAAGTGCAGCCACGAAAAGGCACTGGAGGCACTGCCGTCACATACCATGCGCAATATCATGCTGAATTTTTCTCGGGTTCTTTGCGAAGGAGAAATCAGCACCGCCGGACCGGCGGTCAATGTCAAGTCACCATATGATATTACAGACGGCGGTACTGACCACGTGCCCTGTATCCTGGTGCGCGGGTGGTGGCCGGCAGAAGGCCAGCTCGACGGCTGTCAGCTGGAGGCCGATTTTCCACCAGCGGCGGCATGGGATAACATCCGTAGGTTCGGTGTGCATCTTGTGCCGACCGGCCGGCCTGGGAGTGACACCGAGTTCATCGAGTTTCTGATTTCCTTCTCACGGGCAGAGTTGGTCGCCATCCGCCACCTCGCTCCAGTTATACGAGCGGCTATCAAGGCTGTAAAAGGCATGAAAGGAATTCTGAAAAAGAGCGAGGTGATGACCGATGAGGTAAAATTTAAGTCTTATTTTATAAAGACGGCGGGTCTCTGGGTGGCCCAAACTACGCCTGTTGGGATGTTGAAAGGCATCACTGACGGTGTCCACAAAATACTTGATTGGCTGGAGGAGAATTTTGCCATCGGAAGACTACCCTGCTTTTTCGATCACAACATCGATGTGACGGCTGAACTCAGCACAAAAGAGCGACGGGATATCATCGACACCATACGTCTGATGAGGGAGCATGCCACGCTCCTTCTGATGGCAGTTTGTGAGGATCAGTGGAGGAACGTGGATCTGCTGCTGGAGGGCGGGACGGAGCCGCTCTCAGAACGTGAGCTGCGGCTCCGTCTGTTACGGACGCTCGTCCAACAGGCTGTAGTGGACGGTGTCGGTTACCGCCCCACGGCTCCGTGGTGGGAGTACTGGTGGAAGGCGAGCATCCCTCCGCTGGTCCGCACGGCACCACTTCTACTACAGTGGTGGCACTACAGCAACTCAGGAACATACAACCAGCAGTGTTATCTGTTCATGGCGTGGGTCGTGGTCGACCCGGCGGACCTGGTAGGCGAGACGCTGATGACGTCATCAGTCAGCGACATCGTCACGCTGGACGTAACCCCCCTGATACAACTCCTCACCAGGTCCGACCTGGAGTTCCTGCTGGGTGACCCGGACAGGGTGGCCACCTGGTGTAGTCTGCAGCTGCGGCGGCCGCTGGAGGAGCGGCCGGCCGGACTGACCGCCGAGCTGGACACGCCGCGGGGCCGTGCCGAGCTGCTGCTACGGCCCGAGCTGCTACTGCAGGCTGTCCGCGTGAACGCGCCGGGTAAGATGGACATGTGGCGAGATGAGGACCGGAGAATGAAGAACTGGTGGATGGGGAATGCGCACCTACCAATGCGCACCTACCAGGAGACCCGGGAGCTGTTGGAGCAGTTCTTCAATACCAACCTTCATTGGCAGCTCCGTGACCTACTGCCAGAGATGGACGCCGTGTCGGTGGCCACCACGGCCGGCCTCAAGCGCCGCCGGCTGCAGCAGCTGCTGTCCGGTGACCGGCTTCGTACGGCTTATGACGCCGCCACCGGCTGGTGGCCGGACCGATGGGAGATGACGCCGTACTGCCTGGCAGTGGACGAGACCGACTCACAAGGTAAGACAAAGTAGCACCGACCACTGTTAGTTACTCAAAGAGCTCCATTTATATGTATTTCAAATTACCAGTAAATTTTGAGACGTGGCGGTAAAACACTAGAATGACCAAATAAAGCTCAATGATTTGCAGGAAATTGAGATATTAGTTATGAGGCGGAATATGACCACTAAAAACGTTTTCATATATGCTACATGTTAACTGATTCGCATTAGCATTGCATGACATTAGACGTTATGTTTTAACACTCATGCTTTCTATTAACTTAATTATAAAGCCTACGCAGACTATATATTGCCTTCTAGTTCAAGAAGGGCTTGACCCTGTGAGAGAGCATTATGACAAAACATCTTGTTTGTTTGTTGGGGGTTAGGGGCGCGCCGACGGCGAGGTCATTTTGCGCCCAGTGACAAAACATCTATTCACAAAATCAAATGTTTGCGTTCTGCTTCTGTTTCACCGCGATCCTCCTGATCGAATGGCCTTCCACCTGACCCCACTGGGCTGACCTCCCACCTGGCCCCACTGACTGACCTCCCACCTGGCCCCACTGACTGACCTCCCACCTGACCCCACTGACTGACCTCCCACTGACTGGCCTCCCACCTGACCCCACTGACTGACCTCCCACCTGACCCCAATGACTGACCTCCCACCTGACCCCACTGACTGACCTCCCACCTGACCCCATTGACTGACCTCCCACCTGACCCTACGTCCCACTGACTGATCTCCCACCTGACCTCCCATCTGACTCCACTGACTGACCTCCCATCTGACCCCACTGACCGACCTCCCACCTGACCTCACTGACTGACCTCCCACCTGACCCCACTGACTGACCTCCCACCTGACCCCACTGACTGACCTCCCACCTGACCCCATTGACTGACCTCCCACCTGACCTCCCACCTGACCCCACTGACTGACCTCCCACCTGGCCCCACTGACTGACCTCCCACCTGGCCCCACTGACTGACCTCCCACCTGACCCCAATGACTGACCTCCCACCTGACCCCACTGACTGACCTCCCACCTGACCCCATTGACTGACCTCCCACCTGACCCTACGTCCCACTGACTGATCTCCCACCTGACCTCCCATCTGACTCCACTGACTGACCTCCCATCTGACCCCACTGACCGACCTCCCACCTGACCTCACTGACTGACCTCCCACCTGACCCCACTGACTGATCTCCCACCTGACCCCATTGACTGACCTCCCACCTGACCTCCCACCTGACCCCACTGACTGACCTCTCACCTGACCCCACCGACTGACCTCCCACCTGATCCCACTGACTGACCTCCCACCTAACCCCACTGACTGACCTCCCACCTGACCCCACAGACTGACCCCGTCCCCACCCACACCTGACCCCGCTGACCGTGACCATTTACACGATAATTATCCTCCTGACCTTCCTATATGCTGCTGTTTACTGATAAATCACATTGGACCAACCAGCTCTTTAATTCCATCTGACTTACTGTGTTCCAGACTCGGAACGGGATGACGACAACGGAGAGGTCGGTGGTGAGGAGCGGCGCGGCGCAGACGAGAAGCAGACAATGGAGGGTCTGCCTCGCCCTCAGCGAGAGAAATGGCAGCAGCTGGAGCGACAGCACCAGCAGCTGTGGCAGGAGCTGGACCGGCGGGGCTACGAGAAGAAGAAGAGTCTGAACCAGCAGCATGATGAAGAGTGCCGGAGTATGGAGCGACGTCATGACAAAAAGTGGCGGAGCATGGAAATGCGGCACCATGACGAGCGGAAGAGCCTCCAACAGCGACACGAGAGTGTTACCATGTGCGTGGAGCTACAGAATCAGGAGCACTCGAATCAAGAGAGACGTAGGAGACATTTGGAGCTTCTGGATCGGAAAAACCGAAGGGATAGGGCAGTGCTTGAGCGACAGCACCAGATAGAGTGGGGAGACCTGGAGCAGAAGGTCCAAAGGCAGTGGAACAAGCTGAAGCAGAGACACCAAAGCGAGTCACAAGAGCTGAAGGAGAGGTACCCGAACATCCGGACAGGGGAGGAGTTGGCTCGGCTGATGGAGGAGTGCAGCAGGAGGCGTCAGCACCTGGGGGAGGAGTTGGGGAAGGAACTGGAGAAGGAACTGGAGTTGGAGCTGGAGAAGGAGCTCGGGAAGGTGCAGGAGGAGGAGCTGGAGAATGGACTGAAGCTGGAGGAGGATGAAGAGCCATTGGTGCGAGGTAAGATTCAATATCAAGGGGATATGTAAATTGTGTTGTATTTTGATTTTTGATCATGACACACACGAGCAGACCAACCACAAAACTATTGATAAAAAACTATCGCAACGATAGTCAGTCATTAAGAAAAGTTTGGGAAGTTCACTCGTCCAAGAACCGTTTCACCATAGCGTTTCACAGCATAAGTCTTGACATTTGAAATGTACAAAACCTTTTTCTCGATTGTTGCGATGTCAATCTTCCCATCGCGTTTGCATCATGTAATTATCATTTAATATAACGATAATCACATAGGTTCCAGGGATCACCTCTTTTCTAAATAACATGATGCTTTTTGCACAACTCATCAAACTCTTTTGATGATTTTGATATGTAGATGCATAGCCGAAGCGGTAAGGATCCTAACATAGATGAAAAATTAACAGCAGCTTTAAATATTAATGCTTCTAAAGTACAATACGCATTTACACACCAATCTTATACATTCAGGGTCGATGTAAACAGTAAATCATGCCCTTCTGTTTCCAGCCCCCAAGAACCATGAGCGGCAACAGAAACAGCAACAACATGGCCAACAACAAAGGCAGCAGCAACAACAACATCAAGAAGAAGAACAACGTCAGGGGCGGCAGCCGAGCCGGAACGTTGAACATCTCAGGAACCTAATAGAGGTCACCCGAAGACACCGCCAGCAGCGTATCCAGCTCCAGGAGCGGCACAACCAGGAGCTGGAGGAGCAGAGGAGACGTCACCGACATGAGAGGAAGGATCTGGAGCGGCGCCTCGGCTGTCGGCGGAACAGCCAGGAGCGGCGCCACGGAAAGTGACCGACGTGAGTTGATTTGGGTGAAAATTATTTCATATTTACCTCATAATAAGAATAAAATTCACGTTGAACGGGGTCTTGGAAGAGATGAAAAACACTAGGGATACATTAAGCATGTTCCTCAGGCCTCCTGAGGCAAATATTTGCCATATCCAAGCCTAATCTGTTTGTGTTTCAGGATATCAGCAGAGTCGCGGACCACCCCGAGGAGGCGCCACTGTGGAGAACAAGTCGAGGGTCAGTGATTTGTGGTGCCAGAGAAGTTCAAAATGTGTCGACTGTGTAGATATTGGAAATAGAAAATACATTGACCAATATTGTATATCATCACCGTTGCATTGAAGACAGGAAATTACAAATATATACATAGGTGAGTGTTGGTATCATTGTGTACAAAATGGCGATTTTTACGATGCTCATGACGTGTAAATAATTGCACAGTGGATGTGTTACAGGGTGACGTATGTTGTGATACACGTACAAATTGTTGTTCGATGATGTCATTTATTGGAATGGGCTCAGTTTGGGCTCAGTGAACACTCACTGTTGTTGATGATACTCACTGATGTCAGTGAACACTCACTTTTTATGATACATGTCTTGTGTAATGTGCATTCTTGTAAAAACTATGTAGACATTAGGAGTTGTACCGATCGGTAGGTACATACATACGAATCTGTACCGAATCATTACATAGCATCCGTTGGATGTGGTGGCCACTGGATGTAGTGTTAATATAATGTTAGCAAGCCACGACTCAGCTAACTGCGAAGGAAGACCGGGCCGGCCGGGCTCCACTGATAGCGCTGGTCTGCACCGCCACGTCCGGCACAGGAAGGGTGACGGCCACTGCAGCTGGCAGGCCAGAAAGGCCGTCAGATAAGTGGGCTGGCACCGCCGTCTCCACTAGCCGCAGGCAGGATGGTGCGGTTGGCGTGGCGTCGGTCAGGGAAGGGGGTCTGGGGAAGGGGCAGCAATCTGGAAAGTACTGTGCAAGATGGAGCTGACGCAACTTGCCCGGGTCGGGTCACATGAAAATAATCATCTATGGGTCCAGGTCAGGTCATGCGGATTCGGGAACTTAACCCTATTCCTGGCGGGGGGGGGCCTCAGGAGCCCCCCCCCTGAGGTTTTTTGGTTATTTCTCCCAAACGCGTTGAGCTAGGAAGCTCAAATTTTCTGACTTTTCCTAAAAGGCTTCTACGCAACATGTCTGAAAATTTTGAGTTGATCTGACCTCAGGTCAGGTCACCAGAGGCGGTTTGGTGACCCTACCTCAGAAACGTTTGCAATCACGCCAGAGCTAGAGTTTTCGACCGATCAATTTCTTCTCTTCAGGCTTTAGTTAGGGTACCAGTATGTGCAATTTGTATATCTCGGAATTTTGATATCGGTGACCTAAGGTCAGGTCAGTTTCGCGACCTCCCCATTATAAGTCAACGGGGGAAAAATCAACTCCCTGTTTTTACCACTAAAACGGGTCGGAATGGCCCCATATACCATACATGACTTCATATACGATCAACCTTCACTACCTTGAGGTCTGTTTTGCTGTTGGGCAGCTGTGAGGTCATGTGACGTCATCAAAGGTCACCAAAGGTTTTTGGCCAATAACTCCGTACAGGAACAAGATACAGACGCGTGCGTGGTCTCATTGTGTTCAGCTCGTCAAGACGAATCGAATGATATACATGATGACCTCGAGGTCACGTGACCTGAGGTCAACCTTTGACCTTGACCTTTCGAGGTCAACATATATATCATTCGATGCGGATTGACGAGAGGATCACGATGATGCCCTTAGTTTGTTCCTATCTTGACTAATTCGAAAGTTATTCGAGAAAAACTCTCTCCATATCTAGCGCCGCCATTTTGACTTTTTCGACCCCTGTGACGTCATCTTTGACCTGACCTGAAAATGACCTTAGTAAAAATTGTAGATCTTGGCCATGCGTATCCGATGCCGTTTACCGCTTGTCGCTATCTTGCTTCGTTCTCGAGATCTCAGGGGGGGGGGGCCGAATCGGCCCCCCCCCCGCCAGTTTCTTGTCCCGGCGGAGCCCGCCAGGAATAGGGTTAAAACAGGTCCGGTTCAAGCAAATACGTAACACTTTTCCTGCTGGTTACAGAGGATTTCTTGGCAACATTCTTTGCGTGTTTACATAATTGGGAAACGACGCGACCAGTGACGAAAAACTCTACAGAGCGTACGAAATAATGGACATAACATCTCAAAATTGGACCTCTGATGACCTTCAGTGACCTGAGGACCACCAGTGACGTCATCCCCCGTGGGCCAGCTGATCGTGGCTGCAGCGGTCCTCTCCTCTCTGACCATCACCTCAGACCACCAGAGGATTGATAGAGAACAGAACAGAGTGTACCAACAGATACTGACTCTAGTTCAGTTTAGTGAGATCGGTCAGCCCCGTCACCAAACAGCAAATGTCGATATACATATTACCGCCCATTGTAGATAATTGGGTCTCTATGCACATCACGAGACATTTGTAAATGACTCCCCATACCACTTACTGGTAGCACAGTAATGTCATGCATGTACGTACATTTCCGTTTGAGTCAGACGTTGTTTGCTGAGTCCCCGTCCCGTGCCATCAACCGCTCCCCACCTCTATCACAAGCAGTCAACAGGACTGCACGGTCTCACCGTCCTATACACTAGTCTGAAGAGCGGCGAGGAATGCGGCTCCATACTATATCAGATGTCCAGCTATTGTCCGCCGGGTCACAGCTCTATCGCTCAAAAATTGACACTCTATAGGGGAAGCGGGGGGAGCACCGCCACCTTAAGCATTTCTGCTCACCGAGCTGATATGCGTAGTAAAAACGAAGCTCTTTTGCATTCATGTGAAAGTAGGAATGCTTTCCTACATGTTGGCATAGTTTCCAGCGCTCCATTATAAAATTTCGCTACTTTACAGACGTCGAAAACAAGTCCTGCATTTTTCGTCCTCCAAAAAATGTGCGGGTAGCACCGCCACTGATGGCGATGTTATCCACAGATCGGCCTTACGGTGACAGCCACCCTTGGAAGCGTTACTGCTGTCTGAAATAGTAACTCAAACTCATATAAGACACACAAGAGTTGGTTGTTAGTTTGTCACAGATCAGACTGTTTGTTGCGGACAATAGGGGAAGTTGGGGCAATGCCGGAGTTGGGGCAAAGCCAAAATTCGAGATATTTCGAAAACCGTAAGACATGGATGCCACCTGTCAGTGATGCTCTGAAGCTTAACCCTATTCCTGGCGGGCTCCGCCGGGACAAGAAACTGGCGGGGGGGGCCGATTCGGCCCCCCCCTGAGATCTCGAGAACGAAGCAAGATAGCGACAAGCGGTAAACGGCATCGGATACGCACGGCCAAGATCTACAATTTTTACTAAGGTCATTTTCAGGTCAGGTCAAAGATGACGTCACAGGGGTCGAAAAAGTCAAAATGGCGGCACTAGATATGGAGAGAGTTTTTCTCGAATAACTTTCGAATTAGTCAAGATAGGAACCAACTAAGGGCATCATCGTGATCCTCTCGTCAATCCGCATCGAATGATATATATGTTGACCTCGAAAGGTCAAGGTCAAAGGTTGACCTCAGGTCACGTGACCTCGAGGTCATCATGTATATCATTCGATGCGTCTTGACGAGCTGAACACAATGAGACCATCCACGCGTCTGTATCTTGTTCCTGTACGGAGTTATTGGCCAAAAACCTTTGGTGACCTTTGATGACGTCACATGACCTCACAGGTGCCCAACAGCAAAACAGACCACAAGGTAGTGAAGGTTGATCGTATATGAAGTCATGTATGGTATATGGGGCCATTCCGACCCGTTTTAGTGGTAAAAACAGGGAGTTGATTTTTTCCCCATTGACTTATAATGGGGAGGTCGCGAAATTGACCTGACCTTAGGTCACCGATATCAAAATTCCGAGATATACAAATTGCACATACTGGTACCCTAACTAAACCCTGAAGAGAAGAAATTGGTCGGTCAAAAACTCTAGCTCTGGCGTGATTGCAAACTTTTCTGAGGTAGCGTCACCAAACCGCCTCTGGTGACCTGACCTGAGGTCAGATCAACTCAAAATTTTCAGACATGTTGCGTAGAAGCCTTTTAGGAAAAGTCAGAAAATTTGAGCTTCCTAGCTCAACGCGTTTGGGAGATATAACCAAAAAACCTCAGGGGGGGGGCTCCTGAGGCCCCCCCCCCCCGCCAGGAATAGGGTTAAGTGACTACAATTATCGCATGTTTGTTACGAGTCGTCATTCGGAATACTTCGACTGTGAGGGCGCCAAGAGCGTTTTCATGGTACGTTTCCCTTGTACTACATGCGCCTTTGAAGCTGCATTTCTTACTCATTATGCTACCGTTTGTCTGGCCAATTCGGTCAAGTAATCTTTAGCATGTCTTTGCATAAGTGTGCTGCCTATTTGAAATTTATACAGCACGTTGAAAAGTTATGGGCCTGCAAATGAAAGTATGGCAGGCTGGGGTAATGCCGAAAACGTGCGATTACGCACGTGTTAAAAGCACGCTACGTGGACTTTACTGCTGTAGAATAGCAACGCGTATTTTTAGTCACACAAATTACACTTTCAACCGACACAACGGCCTGTTACCTATAAGGAATGATTTACCTGGCATGTTCTTATTATATCACACAATTATAACTTCCAGTGTGCACCGCGTCCTCAAGCTCTTAAAACGCGTGTCAGCTTTGATCAATTCTGGATAAAGTTTGAGATAAAATGGCAAAACATCAATGTCGGCATTCCCCGTAGATCATTTCTCCCATTTTCGGCTTTCCCCGCAGTCCGGGGCAACGCCGAAAAAGTCACTTCTTTGATATTTTTAGTTTGTGCGCTTAACGGTATGCGAATTCATCAAATGCGCCTGGTATGTTTGAAAGGCAAAAGACTGGCCTCTCGAATGACGCCAACAAGAATAGCTTATGTTGTCTACCTTGCGTGCTACGGGCGTCAGAAAAAAAGTCTTCGGCGTTCCCCCAACTTCCCCTATGCATACAAAGCATGACAAATTCACGTTTATTTCGAAACATCCAGTGAAGTCAAACGTGAGGTTAAAAAACAGACGACGTTTGCGGCCTAACTAAAGCTCTTCTCCGAGCTGAGTGAATCATCATTGCGGCTTTATCCATTTTGCCACCCCTTGGGGTAGCACCGCCGAGCATGGCGGTGTTACCCCACTCACAGTCATGGACCGACAACGCCCCGACAGCAAAACAAGCCGGGACGCGATTCTTCTGTAATTCCTTTCTCAACGGCCGTTTTCACGACGGAACTTTCGCAGAGGAACTTATTTGATACCTAAAAAGTACCTACCCTTAGAGGCCTCAACATCCCTCAAACTGAAATATTTTATGTTCAAAATAATTTTAGAAGTTTAAATCTGGGCATTTTTTGCCCTCAAATCACTAATTTATTTACAAACACAGCAATTTTTGGTTCTAGTAGCCCACCTTTCGACTATGAGGTATTAAATCAGCGTGGCAACTTGCTCCCTCTTTGCTCCCTCGGGTATCTAATTCCGGAATTCTTAAAAACAAGGAAAGTATATATCGAGTTCTCTTTTATACCTATTCAGTTATGTTTTAATGGTGATTAAAATATGACAAATTTTTTAATTACATTTCATATAAGAAAACACGCAAAACATTGAAACAAAAATAACTACGGCAGATAATTACCTTCAGGTATCTAATTCCGACCAATCAG